GGGCTGATTTGATGATTACAGATGTCTGGTAGTACTTGAAATATTTTTTTTTTCTACACATCCAAATCACTTGAAATTTTAAGTGTGCGTTCATCAAAAATAGATGAATCTTTCAAAAATATAAAAAAAATATTTTACATGAAATAAATTGATCCAAATACATCTGAAAAGTTTTGAAAAGTATTTTGATCATTTTGCTTTTTACCGATATATATATATATATATATATATATATATAAAAACCATGCCCTAGATCCAAAATTTATTTTAAAATTGATTTAAGAAGAGGACACATACCAACATATATTGTCACATTAGTCATGGAAGCCTGACCCTGCAATAAATTTCTTGAGCTATTTTATAGTCAATTAGTGACATAACACACATCACGTTTTATTCGTGTGAAAATATAAAATTCTCTCGTGTAATCAACCTTGAATTATTTTTCATCAATTAGTTGGCAATTGATGCAAAAAGATACATTAAAAACTAATTAATACGAAAAATATTCCAACACTTAACCAAATAAAAAGACTTTTTTTTATGTGAAAATATTTTTTAAAAAACATTTTCTTGCGAACCAAAACGGGCAGTTAGGGACATAAAACATATTGAATAGAACTACCCACTCAAGGCCCCATAATTAAATAACCAACTACAAAGCTTTGTGATAGAAAATGAACCGCCGACTCATCCTCCGATTAGTTTCGTGTTCAAGAAATCAATATCCAACTGAGAGACTGAGGATTTTCCAAGACAAGAGACGGGTCTAGGGTTCTTTCTTGGTAGAAGGAGAAGAGGAAGAGAGGGAGACAGATTGAAGAAGAAGAAAGCGAGATGAGAGAGAAAGAAAGGGCCTTCTTGTGGTCATCATCAGAGGCCTACCCCTGTGTGGTAGCCCCTTCCATTCTACTCCACCATTTTCACCAGATCTGATGCGCTCACCTCAACTCATACCAACAAGGATGTGACGCCTCCATTTTTATTTAATTTAAAGTGGAAGGTGATGCGCAATAGCAGAAGGAATGGGAAGAGGGTGGCGGGATTGTTCAGTAAAACCATGGGGGGGATTGCAGAATCGAGAGCATCAAAGTTGTATGGAAACAGACATGCGAGAAACAACGAGCGGAAGTGGAGTCGATTCGGAAGGGGCTTCTTGTGGGTTTCATTGTTCCTCTATTTTTGCAGCTCTGGCCCTGATTTCCTCTGGTTCCTGAGGGGGTTTTCTCCTTCTTCTTCGTCTTCTGATGGTTACAGCACCACGCCAATCTCGTCTTCTCGACATCCACAGTTCCAGAAGAAGACCACTGTTTCAACCTCAGATTCTCTGGTATCAAGGGCCTTGGTTGAGCTCAATGAAACTAGAATGCAACCGGTACAAACGCTCTCACCAGGTACCTTCATATATCCATCATCAAACTGTTATGGTTTTCTAAAATGCTTACAAAACCTCATTCTTTCTGTTATAATAAGGATTAATAGAAAGAAATTGTTAGTCTTTCATATATCTTGGAGTTTATTTGTGTTTTGGGAATACAGGGTTATGGAATGGAATGAAGGTGTATGTGTATGATCTTCCTTCTAAGTATAACACCCGGTGGCTGTCGAACCCCCGCTGCTCCACCCACCTCTTCGCGGCGGAGGTGGCCATACACAAAGTCCTCCTCCACAGTCCCGTCCGAACTCTGGATCCCTACGAAGCCGATTTCTTCTTTGTCCCTGTTTACGTCTCCTGTAACTTCAGCACCCCCAATGGTTTTCCCGCCATCGGCCACGCCCGTCCGCTTCTCTCATCCGCTGTCGACGACATAGCCAAATCCTGGCCGTTCTGGAACCGGAGCGATGGCTCAGACCACGTCTTCGTCGCCAGCCACGACTACGGTGCTTGCTTTCATGCCATGGTAGGTGCGGTAGGTGCAGGAGTAGTTGTCGCTCCCTCGAGTTACAATTAAAGCACCATGGCTCATCACAAAATTTGATTGATCAAAAGCTTTTGCGGAAAAAAGTTTTAGTTTTTTGATTAATTAAAGCCCCATGCCTCACAAAATTACGCAAACTTTCTCCAATATCTCGTAGCCTCCTTAGTCTGTATTAAATGACGACCCATGTGCTTCTCTGGCTGTCACCGCCCTGTTGGATTTAGTATTCATTAACACCCAGCAGGACGTGCATAGGAATGAATTATTTGCCCTAATTTTAGTTGTTTCTGTAGTGAGCATAGATGAGCTACGCTTAGGAAAAAGTTTAAATAAGGTTGAAACTTTAAAATGTTAGACTTGAGACGATATCAAGATGCAGGTATATAAAAAGAAAAAAAGATTTTGAGTCTACTAAATAGTCTTGCGACACATTAATTACACCGTCCATTATCAAAATTTTCAAGTAAATTTACTTAGATTTGAATCAATTTTAGAGTTTAAAATTTTATAATTAAAAATAAAAATAGATTTCCAGCCCATCCTAAAAATTTTTGATAATTATAAAATTTAGAGGTGTGCCTTAATTTGAGTATTTAAAGTTGCAACCTGATGCAAACCACACCTATACTTAAATCATTTATTGGATTTCTTGTGGCCTAATATAGAGCGAAGCCAAGGTCTTTATGGTAAATTACTAAGCATCAAAATTTGAATGTCGGGAAGCCCAAGGGGTGTCTGTTGATTGCTTTTGACCGGCGCAGGAGGACGTTGCAAAAGCGGATGGGATTGCAGAGTTTTTGAAGAGTTCGATTATATTGCAGACTTTTGGAGTGAAAGGACCGCACCCTTGTCAGGACTCGGACCACATTCAGATTCCTCCATATATTTCTCCAGATTATGTGAAAGCAACCCTCACTTCCCTTCCTAAAACTCACAAGCGGGATATTTGGGCCTTTTTCCGGGGAAAGATGGAGATTCACCCCAAAAATATAAGCGGCCGTATCTATAGCAAGTAAACATTCTCTCTCTCTCATCCAGCTGGCCGACTTTAAACTAAATTTATGAAACACCCCAAACTGAACTCGAATCTGTAAAGGCTTCTCTGTTTCCATCGGAGCATTAATTGTGAAGCGGATTTAGAATCGGTAATTGATAAGATAAAATGGACTTGTGAAGCGGCTTTAGAATTGGTAATTGATAAGATTAGAGAAAATGAAGTTATATCAAGTGTACACGAGCACAATACGTGTTAGGAGGTTGGGAAGGATAAAAAAGTGCCACGGGTAGTGTTTTAGGAGGTTGGATCAAGTGGAAGGATAAAAAAGTGTCTCGGATAGGTCTAAATGGATATAGTTAGAAGCCATAATAAAAAATATAGTGATTTATTAGTTAGAAGTTGTAGGAAAAGATGTAAGATTTATATGAGGTCTGAAAGGACTTGGTTGGATGCTGTGGGAAAATATATTTTGAAAGTACGACTCTTGATAGAATAGCAAAGATTGATATAGTTGAGTCTAAACAGTTGGGAAAAGAAAAAGGTTTGATGATACTGATGCTAATGGATTTTTTTCCTTGGTCATGGGAATTGAAATGGAGCTTGAGATTGGTTATTTCAAGAACAATTGTTTCATGCAGGGTAGACTGCATTTGCACAATATGTGGTCCTCAGGTATGAAGCATCCATGCAAACTGGTGGTACATCTAAAAACAATCAAAACCAACTATTTAAATGTTGTTTTAATAAAATTATTATTTTAATTTTCAAATTTTAGTTATTTATTCATATTCATGATCTTTATATTAAAGATTATATATTCTCGAGGTTCGAATTCTATTTAAAAAATAAATGTATTAAGGGGTCCGCATTTTTACATGGGCTGGCTTGGCCGCATGTTATACACAGCCTTCCATCTTGTTATTAAGTGGATTTGTGCTATGGAGCCCATTAAATATGTTTCGAAAAGCAGCGGATAAGACGCTCACATTGACGTAAAAAACCCGGAAAAGATGTTCACAAGGCCGTCATTTGTTACTAATATTGAAGCGAACTTGTCAGTATGCGTACCCCTCCAATTTATTGTTGAAGTCTCGTATTAGTCCTATTCTCAGTTTTACCCCTCTACATTAGTTCTCTTCCATTAAGTTGCTTACTAGGCTATAATGGCACCTCTTAATTCCTGCCGCTTATGAACGCGGCGTCAAAAGGTCTCCTTTTTGGTTTAGTAGTGGAGTTCAAACTCGTACTAATTTTAAAGTTGAAAAAGTTTATATAAGGTTGTAACTTTATAATGTAGAGCTACGGGGTGCATCTCAAAAATCCATCTAAAATGTCGTTTTAATGTTGAAAAACCATTTGATTGGTCATCTCAACTGATTGATCATCGCAACTGCACCCTTTTAAGATTATCACCAATTTGCATTGAATTGGTTTTAGATTAAGACACAGTTTATATGAGTCCCTGCCCTCATATGTAGAAATGGGGGCCCCTTGAAATAAATTTTGATTCTTATTTTTAAGGAATATGCAATTTATACCTAATATGGAGATCATTAATGAATTAAAAATTAAAAATGATCTAATATTGAGATCGTTAATGAATTAAAAATTAAAATTAAAAATGATAAATTTTTTAGAAAGAAAAGTTTGAGCCATTGATATTACCTTGCTTTCTGAGATTACTAGCAAAGCAATTTTGATGTTTCCTTGCCATAATAATTAAATATTGAAAACAAACAGGGGAATTAGGACGATGATATGGAAAAATTACCATCATCACCGAAAATTTTATCTGATGAGAGAGAAATTCCAAGGGTACCAACAGGAAATGGCGCGCTCCGTGTTCTGCCTGTGTCCACTGGGATGGGCCCCATGGAGCCCACGCATTGTTGAATCGGTGGCCCTTGGATGTGTCCCCGTCATCATAGCGGACGGCATCCGCCTCCCCTTCCCAGAGGCCGTACGATGGTCCCAAATCTCGATCTCCGTGGCCGAAAAAGACGTGGGGAAATTGGGGAAGATCCTGGAGCGAGTGGCTGCCACCAATCTAACGGCGATCCAGAAGAATCTATGGACGGAGAGCAACCGCCGTACTCTGCTGTACACCGATCCCATCCAACCCGGTGACGCCACGTGGCACGTCTTGGATAACTTGGCGCGCAAGCGGCACCATCGTTCTCTAAGGAGGCGTTGGTCCAATCAGTGAACGACACGTCTTTGGACGATTAAATTTTGTTTGCGGACCGCCAGCGTGGCATGCGGTATCTGTTGTCCTTACGTAGGGTCTGTATACAGCTGCTAGCTGCCGGGCTGTTCTGTTCAGATTTGACATTTTATTTTTTGATTTTTTTCTTCTCTCGTCGTCCTGGGAAAGAATGAAAGAGAATAAGAAAAAGATGTATGACATTTTTACATTTTAAATCCATTTTTTAATGGTAAATTTTTATATTTTATTGACCCAAAAAATTGTAAATTTTCATTTTAATTATTTTCTATTCGGCCAAGCATAGGTAAAAAATGTAGGCCTCTTAATAATATATATTTTTGAGATGGATTTTAAGACAATTTTTAAAGATATGTAATCTCTAATATGGAGGTCATGAATATGAAAAGGGTGCGGTTTGTAAACAATCAAATTTCTAAACAATCAAATTAGAGCCTATCTTCAATTAGTGGCCACAGTTTCGATACCGGAAATCTTTGTGACAACTTTAAAATATATTTTAATCTTTATTTATAAGGTTTAAATATTAAAAAATATAGTGTATATTTTTAAAGTTTTGAAGATTTTTGGACATCAAAACATCTTCGAGTGAAAGTTTTAAAGTAGGCTCAAATTTGATTGTTTAGATCCTCAGCTCTATATAAATTTTTCCCCTATGAAAAATGCTGCAGTTTGTAGGGAGCTTAGGCTTTGAACAGTCAAATTAGAGCCTACTTTCAAATAGTATCAACAAAATATAGTTTTAATATTGGAAATCTTTGTGATAAGCTTTAAAATATATTTTCATATTTATTTATAAAGTTTAAAGCTTCAAAAATAATGTAGATAAACACATCTATGAAAATCTTGAAAATTGACGGTTCAAAAATGTGTTACAAAATACACTATTTCCAAAACTTGAAATCTATTTTTTTCTCTTGTCCATGCATCTTGATGTCGAGATGGTCGATTTGAAGATATTTGGGCATCAAAACAATCTCTTCTAGTAAAATTTTTCAGGTAGGCTCAAATTTGATTGGTTAGAGCTTCAGCTCTGTACAAACTTTTTCCTATTAAAAAATAAATAAATTTTAAAAGTTAGAAATAATAATTCTAGTAAGAAAACATATGGACCATTGGTTTCTATTGTTTTTAGATGGAACACCTACTTACATCCATCTTTAATGTTGATCCTTTACACTTTTTGGACTACATATGTATAAATGCAGTCCAGCTTGCATGAAACAATTTTCCTTTCTGTATATACTCAAATTAAGGTCAAAGTATGTCGACTCACACTATTCTTGTGCGGTCTCCTTGCAAAAATATATCTAAAAAGTGTAATTTCGATACAAATTTTTAGGGTTTGATAATCTCGACCATGACAATGATCTAAGTTTAGAATTTTTCTTTCTAAAAAATATAAATGTTATTTTTTAAAAGGTGCGGTTTGTATAGAGCCTAGGCTCTAATCAATCAAATTAGAGCCTATCTTCAAATAGTGTCGAGAAATGTAGTTTCTATATTGTAAATCTTTGTGATAACCTTAAAATATATTTTCATATTTATTTATGAAGTTTAAATTTTAAAAAATAGTATAGATTGACATATTTATGAAAACTTGAAAATTGACAATGCGTTACTAAATATACTATTTCCAAAACTTATAATCCATTTTTTTCTCATGTCCATGCATATTGATGTCGAGATGATCAATTTGAAAATGTTTGGACATCAAAACAACCTTTTCTAGTGAAAGTTTTGAAATAGGTTCAAATTTGATTGTTTAGAACCTTGGCTCTATATAAACTTTTTCCTTTTTTTTTTTTAATTCCTTTCTTCCCTGTTTATTTTAACTTTTAGATGTATCATTTTTTGACATCCATCTTAGAGATGGATGGTAGATACACAAGGGACTGCATGGTAATACGTGAGTCGGTTGACTCATCAAAACTGTGTCTAAGCTCAAATGTTGGGTATTGATTTCATCACAATGCACTTATAAAGAAAATTTAAAAATTAAGTACAAGGAAAATGACCTAAATATTCCTAAATTTTTTTAAAAATTGAGGTATTCTAGTCATTTTATTTATTTTAAAATACTTTATGGTAATTTTTGCAAATGTGAGATCTATTTGTGCTTAAGTTGATATATAGAAAATGAAATATAAATTAAAATATAATTTGCACTCTCAAAAGTAGGACTTGAGCTTAAACCGTAAAATATAAAAAGGACCCGGTTTCTATACGGCCAAGCCTAGATATGTAGAAATGCGGGCTTCTTAATAAATCTATTTTTGAGATGGACTTCAAGACTAAATTTTTAAGGATATGTAAAATATAACATGGAGATCATGAATACGAATAAATAAATAAATTTTAAAACTAAAAATAATAATTATAGTAAGAAAACATTAGGACCATTGGTTTCGATTGTTTTCATATGGAACATCAACTTGCATCCACCAAATCGCCATGGTAGACCTATACACATATTTGGGCCTCTCATGCAATACGAAAATTATTTAAAATAATTTATGATTTTTAGAAATTCATAAAATCCAATTTGAATAATTAAATCAATATCTCTGTTTCTATAAATTCAAATTTCATAAATAAAATACCCAAATATTCAAAAAAATTCAAATAGTAATTCTAAAACTCATATAATATTAAAAAAATATAATTAAATACATTTGATGTGAAAATGATCCATATGGTTTAGAAATAAATAAATAAATACTGAGACACTCCACTTTCTATTGTGGACTACGGCCTACATTTGCGTTATCAAATTGATCTAGTGTTGGCCATGACCCACAATCTATACATGGACCCATTAGTGGATCACCAAAGCCAAGCCAATGGGCAAGGAGACATAATCTTAGTTTGTGGATTTTTAGGTTATCCCCTAGAGACGTACCAAGGTCACCTAGACTTGACGCAACTACAATTATTTGGTGCATGTAGATAATCGCATATGCACAAGTTTCACCCTAAAAAGTGGTTCGTTTTCCCGAAATAGCTATCATATGTGTGTGCCATGTGATGGTATGCTGATGAGGCTTTGGCCTCCATCTTTAAAGGCCACCTTAACATATAAGAGCCACACAATCTATCGGCTCACTCATCCGGGCATGTTTCGACCTCATTAAAGGATGACCCGTTATAACTCTTATTGGTTTAATCTTTATGCCTAAGCAACATGAGTTTTTTCAACTGACTGACCTAGCACATGAAGCTCAGTCCGGTATCAACAAACATCATTTGCTCAGTATGGTTCATATAAGACCATACTCCTCCTGAGTTCATGTTCTATTATATTACAAGTTCAATTACAAGCACTCATAAAGTCTTTAATGGCGACACACATTCAACACAAGGCTTTGTGGCACCGAACTTGCACTTTCAACATAGTTTTGAGACGCACCTTATTTTAATAGTATACGGTTGACACCTTATACGAACCATACCCATTTCTTTATGCACATAACACAACGAGATGTTTAGACTTATTCGGTTGGTCTCTTGGCGAATGAAAGTTACATGCCATAATATTAAGATCCTAAACATGTTCCGAGGATGGCGTTCTACATGGGAGGTGAGAACAAACAAATCTTTGGGCAGTAATAATGACATAAATGAGAAAGATAAAATCCAAGTGAAAGAAAGTAAAGATAGTGGACTAATGAGTGGCCCATGCTTTAACCCTAACGACAACGATAACAATGAATATTTGGAAGTGGGGTGGGGCCTGGTGGCATATGCTTGTCTCACGGCACACCAGTTTTGGACATTTTGGAGTGGGTTTAAGGAGCAAGTTATCTGAGAAATTATGCGTTTGGTTTAGTTTGGGAGCAAAGGTATGTGATAAGGACCTGTGGTTGGTAGGTCCAGCGTGTCTTGTACGTTGTTACATTAAGATGCCTGAATAATAGAGGCAATAATGCCAAAACAAATCTCTCTTTGACTTCCTCTCTCCCCATTTTAATGAAGCTAAGATCGTTCCATGTTTGGCAACTAGAACTTCTTGGTGGAACTTTCAGGATACTTTGGTAGTTTCTAGTTTGAAAACTAGAAAGTTCAGGAAGTACATACATTTTTTTTATTTTTGAGAATTACGCCTCTCCATTTCCCATGGAAGCACGTGTTAATGATGAAATGGTGTGATATCATTATAGTTGTTGTGAATCCAAATCTCTTGAACTTGCAATGGAAAAAATAGTATGAAACTCAATGCAACAACATGAAAGTAAAATAGAGGATCAACCACAAAGAGGACACCAAAGTTTAACGAGATCCAAACACAAATTATAATCTACATCCATAGGAGAATGATGCAACGCTTTATCTACCTCTAAAAGACAATAACTTCTCATGTTAATCTCAAATAAATAAATAAATAAATAAATAAAATCAATAAATAAAATCAATAAATAACTTACTCAGATCTGTTCTTAAATCACACGAGGGACTTAAGGTTCCATACCAAAACCTATAGACCAAGCCATCCGGTGATAGGCTACCGTGAGAGTCCTCTTAGTGAATCTCCTTCACCTTCCATCTCTATTTATCTATATTTTTTTTATCTTTTCTAGAGGGGTTAACCTCATTTTATGGAGAACACATTTATTTTTTAACTCTTACATTCATGGTTTATAGGAGTTGAGATCTAAGTATAACTCCTGCTTTATTTCCCTTAAGTGCAGCTAATTAGGATTAACAAGTTGTCATTAAACTGTTAATCCTATATAATGAGCTAAACTTGTCATTATTCCACTAATGACTCACATAATAGGATGTCATTCAAGCATTCCCACAAATTGGTAAAAGATATTTAGAAATTAAATAACCTTTGTATATCTATAATATAAAAAACAAATTCTTACAAGGAATTCAAACACATCACTGGGTTTTTCATCCAGTGATACTGTGTTTTCCTTCCAATGATAAATCCTATTAAAGCTAAAAAATAGATCCATGTATATGGCATTGTCTCATGTTAACCATATGGGATTTTACATATACTTCAATACGACTTTTGTATCATTATTGAAAAAATAAATTTCTAGGAGAAAAAGGGACTGATAGACCACATTTCCAACATCCTCTTTCTAAAACAGGGTACCAAACATACTTAAATGGGTTCTCCTTTGAATTTTCTCTAAAACTGTGATTGCAAGAGAGCAAGAAAAA